AAAAAGGGACAAACCCAGCTATTGGGTTGTTTTGACCTAGCGGTTGGGTTGTTTTGACCCAGCAGTTGGGTTCAAAACAACCCAACCGCTGGGTCAAAACAACCCAATAGCTGGGTTTGTCCCTTTTTAACCCCGCGCTGGGTTATATTTAACCCAGCATTTTTTAGAGTGTACTTTCATTGTAAATAGAAAAGAACGTCTCAGACATTTTTCCTAACATTTAATTTTGTGCTTCACAGAAGAAAGAGGAAATTATAGAGCTGGAATGACATGAGAATGAGTAAAATTATTTTTTTTGTGTGAACTAACCAATTAATTTAGTAGTAGTAGTAGTAGTTAATTTAATTAATGTGCAACACTCTCTTTTTAGTTTATACAAGTTACACAAACTACCTCCTAAATGTGATTAAACTTTGACCACTTTATGATAGAAATATACAATTAGATATCAGCATTGCATGTTTCCATGCCTCCCACATCCATCTCATAAATCGAGTGTAAACTCTGGCTTCCTGAGTTGAAATACTCCTGTGACGCTTCATGGCCGAAGTCTGAAAAAGGTCACTGTCGCTTTAAGAAGCATCCTGCTCGAGCTCTTTGACTTCTGTGAGCACCGCTCAGATCTACGTCCACAAATGCTGCTGATGTGCAGAGAAAGAGGACAGGAACACAGAAAGAGTCCAGATCACTGATTCACACATGGCTGGAACATCTTATGAGAGGCTGTTGTATGAAGATTAACTTTATTTGTAATTCAACAAAGCATCACTGAACTTCAGTTTCACCTTGGATGAAGAGGAAAGTTGGCTTTTCTAGTGATGGGCATTTGATAGCGGTCATGTTTAATACAATGGAAACATGAACCTATATGAATATTTAAATATTAGCCGGATGCAATTGTGCAGCACTGGCTTATTAAGACTTGCGAGAAAGTTAAATATGCTCTCTGTGATACTTTGTGGTCAGGCAGTTTTGGTTGTGGTTTTTATCCACATTCTCCAACTTTACTGCATCCAGCACAATAAGCTTGAATGTTTTTGAGTGTCAGTTGTGCATCATGATAAAGAAACGGCTGATATTTTGACCAGTAGAAAAGTCCATTGCTAACAGAATGATTATTTTGGATATTGAATTCAAAATGATCAGATGTTAAAGGAATGAAATGAAAATTCTGTCATTATTTAAAGACCCTCATGTTGTTACAAACCCATATGATCTATCAACAATTTCAGAGCCATGTTGGTGCACTTCTCAACATCATACAATACATTTTTAATAATAAAAAAAAGAATAATTCCAGCATTCTCAGAGTAAAAGGCTGTCACTGGGATGTTACCCTTTCAAAAGCTACTAATATGTACCTTTGAGGAACTAATAGGCACCCTATAATGACTCAAATAATGTCAATGACTTAAATTCAGACTGTTCCTTGCAAAAACTTTGTATGCTGTTGAGAAGTCTAGAAAAATAGCATGCAAGTCATAGAGACTATTTTATGAAGCATTAATATAATTTGATCAAGAAACTGAATGTAAAAAAATATTTTTTAAATGACAAAAAAACATTTCTGAAAAAAAAAAATGTTTTTTTTTTTTTTTTTTTTCAAATATACTGTTTATCAAAAATGAAATGCATTGGAAAAGAGTTCTGAATATTTCTTTATTTATTTGTTCCACAACAGTGTTGTTATTGTTAACAAACTAAAATTTAAATACAAAAAAATTTAACTTATTTTATTTCAGTTAGTTAAAAAGGCAAAATTTCATTTAGTTTATGTTGAAGGATTAAAATGAAAACTAAAATAAAACGGATACAGAAATAAAAAATAAAAAATAAATTACACATTGTACTTTCGGTGTCAGTTTTCATTTGGCCTAGTTTTCCCCTCTGTGTTTAATCAGTTCACCTGTGTTCTATAATTTAGTCATTATGATTTAGTCACTTGCTTTTGTATTTATACTCCCTGTTCTGTTCAGTGGTGCCGGTTATTGTTTGTATCTACGTTTTGTGCTACGTTGATTCTAGCGATTCTCCTGTGTTCCTTGTAGATTTATTATTAAAAGACTGTTATTTCTTTGTCGTGCACTCATTTATAAGCACCCAGCGTGACAGACGTACAACAAAATGATAAAAACTTTATAATGAACATGAACAATGAAAAATAAAGACTAATTCAAAATATCAATAAACACTAAGATAGCAGTAATGACACTAAAATAACACTTGGTTATGGTTTTGGTTATGGTTTTGGAATGAAATGAGGTTGCGTAAATCATGAGAGTTTTCTTCTTTTTTTTGTGTGTGTGACCTATTCCTTGAATTCATTTCAAGTGGGTCAGATGTTAACTCTCTCTCACTCTGTCTTATAAAAAAGGGAAGAAGAAAAAACGGTAGTGCTGTGAGATGAATGATTATGTGTGCAAGCAACTGAACTGATATATTAAGCAAGACCTGTTTACTATATATTTCTTATGTTTTCAGGACTCACCCTCACAGTGGATGGAGAAGGTTTAGTCTGGTTTAGTCCAGCGGGGAACAGCTCTCCATCATGGATCCGCTCGACAAGCTGAGCAGAGAGAAGTTGATCTTCTATCTGACAGTGCCGCTGTCTTCAATCATCATCTTCTCCAACCTCTTCATCATAATATGCATCGCCTGCAACCGTCAGCTGCATAACACCCCAAATTACTTCTTCTTGAGCCTGCTAGTAGCCGACTTGTGCACCGGCATCACCCTGCCCTTCATTCCCCGCATGACGCTCGACCAGCAGCTGGATTTCAAGCACTGCTTGGTGATGTACATCTTCCCAAACTTTCTGTTCCTGTCGTTCCTCTTCAATCTGGTGATGGTGCATTACGAACGCTACCTGTGCATCATCAGCCCGCTCCACCACAGCCAGTTCTGGGTTCACCACTGCTTCCCACTGGCCTTGTTGACCGTTTGGCTCCCGCCATTGCTGTACGCATCACTTCCTGCCTTTGGATGGAATAATTGGGTTGAACCCAATGCCTACAAGAGCTCCGATTCAAACAAAACGTTCTTGAGATCAACCACATCTCGCAACTCCTCCAAAGTGGATGAGGTTTGCTCCTACAAACAGGTCTTTCCCAAGGCCTTCATTTTTTTGGAAGTGTGCGGACTGGTGCTTCTGGCCATGCTGTCCATTGTAGCCATGATGGGACGGGTGTTGTGGATCACGCGCAAGCAGCTGCAGAACATCTGTAAGCTCCACCGCGCCGTGGACCGTCTTCAGCAGCAGCAGCCATCCGACCACGAGCAGCAGCTAAACCTGCGCTACGCCAAATGCGTGGCTGCCGTGTCTCTCACGTTCCTGGTCTGCTGGGTGCCGTATATCATCTACCAGCTCATGTCTGTGACGGCTCTGCAGACCGGGGTGAGCTTGCCGAGCTCTTCTCTGTACATCATCATGTCCTGTACAGGAATCGGAAGCATGGCTGTCATTCCGCTCATACTGGGACTGGCCAACAAGCAGTACACTGAGCCCATCAGCAGGCTGATGCTTAAACTGAGAAACCGCTGGAGAGGAGGACAAAATAGCAGAGATATTGCACTTTGACAATTGGACAGTGAGTAGATAGGATGTTTCAATTGAATGTGTAAAAGTTCTTCTGTGCATTAAATGCTTAAAAAAAATACACTACTGTTTAGAAGTTTGGGGATGGTTAGATTTTTTTTGTGTTTTCGAAAAAGAAAAAAAAAATCTCACCAAGGCTGTATTTATTTCATCAAAAATGCATAAAGTATTGTGAAATATTATTACAATTTCAAATAAGTGTTTTCTATTTGAATACATTTTCAAATATAATGACCTTCTGCGATGCAAAGCTGAAATTTCAGCATCATTACTCCAGTCTTCAGTGTCACATGATCCTTCAGAAATCATTCTAATATTTTGGTTTGCTGCTCAAGCCACATTTCTTATTATTCTCGATGTTGAAAACAACTGTGCTGCTTAATATTTGTGTAGAATCTGTGTTTTTTTTATGAATAGAATGTTCAAAAGAACAGCATTTAGTTGAAATCTTTTGTAACGTTACAAATGTCTTCACTGTCACTTTATCAGTTTAATGCATCTTTATTCTTTACTGAATAAAAGTAATAATATCTTTAAAAAAAAATGACTGATCCCAAATTTTTGAACGGTAGTGTAAAAGAACAAAACACTCTATTAGTTAGTAATCACATCTGTCTTTTGTCAGAGAGTTTTGTGTCATCACTAAAAATTT